TTGTTAATTGTTGGTGAGGTAGATTGCAGTGCACATTTATTTGAGCTGCCCGACAGCATTAGTTTGGAGCTGTGGAGGCCCATGAGCAGGACTGTCAATAAAGAGCTCCATCAAGTCCTCGCCACCATTCAAGTCAACTTTAATACACCACTAATCAGCACAGGCTGGCGCAGAGAGGTTAAGTAGGCATGACGTAGTTTATTATTTCAATAGCTCGACTCTGTGGTCTAACAGGGCCACATTTATGTCACTGGTAAAGCGAACACAGGGCCCTTTTTAGAACTCAAGTAAATTAGAGACAGGAGAGCAGAACAGGAAGGGATATGAAGATTAGAAGAATTGGAAGGTTTCCATCTCTATTTCTTTCACAAAGACTTCTTAAAGTTTTGGGCTCATTACTCCATAATGACCTCATAGTTCTATTAATGGCTCAACCACCCTGTAACTTCCCACTGTCGAATCTGTCACATTCATTTTTTAAAAAGTGTGCATGAAACTGCAAATGGTTTTTGGATGACTTCAAATTTTCTTTGTTTTTTTAGATGCCATATATGATTGTGCATCACTCTACAGCAAGAACTACAAGATCTCTGGCGAGTACAAACTGCCTAAAGATGACTTTCTGGGGACACCTGAGCTGAGCGTAAGTTATACTTGAGTTGCGTGTGTATCGCGTGTTCTCCTTGTGTGGTTTTTGGTACAGCATGACAGGCTCTCCCTTTTCTCTCTGCACTCGATTAAATGTTGGTAAATCCTTTCAGGTCTTCTGTGATATGGAGACAAATGGAGGCGGCTGGACTCTGATCCAAAGGCGAAAAGTCGGCCTGACATCATTCAACCGTGACTGGAAACAGTACAAAAGTGGATTTGGATCCATCCGTGGAGACTTCTGGCTCGGCAATGACCACATCTTCCGTATAACAAGGCAGCCCAGTGTGCTCAGAATTGAGATGGAGGTACGTATTTGAAACCATGGCACTAATGTAGGCTTAGACTAAGCCTCTAAAGGGCAAGAATAAACTAACCAAAAATAAAGGAGAACCCATAACCTGTTTCATCGCCAAAAACAAAGAGTCAGTTTGCTCAAACTGCTACTGAGCATAAGAAAATGAATAATAAATCAACTTTTAGAGATGTTGGGCAAATGATGGAAGCTAATATGCTCAGATTCTATAACTGTCCCATTACTTTCTATGTGCTTTCCGATGCAGGACTGGGAAGGAAAGACACGCTACGCTGAGTATGGTTTTTTCGCAGTGAGTAATGAGCTCAACAGCTACAAGCTCTTCCTCGCCAACTACAGTGGGAACGCTGGAGACTCCCTGCGCTACCACAACAACACCAACTTCAGCACCATCAACAAAGACAACGACAAATGTGTGGACGACTGTGCTTCCCTGCGCAAAGGTAAATAATTACAGCAGGCAAACTAAAACATTGCATGTAGTAATTTATATACAATTAAAACATGAAGCAGCAATTTCCTTTCGGTAAACGATCTAATTCTTCTCCCTCACCTTCTTCCAGGTGGTTACTGGTACAACTGCTGCACCGACTCAAACTTGAACGGCATTTTTTACCGCTACGGCCAGCACACAAGGAACACAGATGGGATCACTTGGTACGGCTGGCACGGGCCCAACTACTCCCTCAAGAGAGTGGAGATGAAGGTCCGGCCCGTCGGTTTTCAACCATAGGTCCTTCGATTGCATTTCCTGGATCGTGATCAATAGCATAAATGCTGAGAGATTTCACTAATACCTGTCCAATGAAATTGTAGCCTTCCATTGACTGCGAAAGGAATGAAAATGTTGTTTGCGATGGTCAAAATAAGTCTCAGTCAGATGAATGTGTAATGTTTCTGCCGTCTTTGATTGTAAATTGTACTTCGTTTTGTGTATTTATCAGTAAAATATTTTATTTTTTAAAAGCTTTGATAGATGCTCTTTACCACTGTCCCATATGGGTAACTAGGTTTTGATTCAATCTCTCATTTGTCTTGAAAGCACTAAGATGTATTTTTTTTCTAGTTAACACAAGCTGTTTATGGGTAGCACTAGGTTCAGGTTTAAGAACTTGTAGGAATTAAGTAAACTAAACTAAAGGAATGGCTGGAATGGGACCAAAAACCAAAGGTATTTCCTTTTAATTACACTGCATTTTATAGTAAACCCCTAACTATTGATGATGGAAATGTTTAGTTTGTAAAATGTGTACAGCTATGTAATTATGTTGTTTTATGTGACAGAAAATAAACATATTTTTTAAAAGAAACACAGTGTTTTCCTTCTAATCATTAACTATAGTATAGTTGTGACAAACGGAGTGAGAATCTAAAAGCAAATCATGGCCTTATGTCCATTCACGTCCAATAATAGCGACATATTTGCCTTGGGCCAATGACCTCTGGTTCTCAGGTCATCTCCTGACATCCTGGTCAAAGGTCCCTGAGACGCAATTTTGCCAAACACAGGAATGAAGACCACACACACAAAGACTATTCTGCCACCGTGTTAAAAGCCTCCTGGTTTACTACTTTAAAAACAATAACACCATTTTGCTTTAAACAAACAGAATTCCTAAGAGCATTCAAATACCGACAGACAGGGAGCACTATGCAGGCTCAGTAGTAGTCTTAGTCAGATTCTTTTCCTTTTACAAGGTGACAAGTCAGTCAGGGTAAACATCTAATAAAAGCAGAACACGTGAAATAAAGAGCACCCAAAAAAAGCCATGTGGACAGTGACAAATGACCAGGGCTTTCTATTTCTAGGTAGTAGAAGCTCAAACTATTTAAACTTCTGTCCCCAACAACAAAAAAAGACCTTGAAGGGTTGTGTAGGGTGTAAATGCCACTATGAAGGTATTTTACTAGTGACGTATATCCTTCTACGTCTACATAGAGGTGGTCCTAATGGGTTGAATGCCTCACTCAGGAAGCCCAGCATCTGCAAGTGGAAATCATTGAAACTATGCTGTGGAAATATAAAAGGGTATATAAGTAAAGGGATGGTTCAGATTATAGTTTGTGAGTTTAAGTGTAGAATTATGAAGCACTGAAGAAGAGGTCTGTCTGAGTGTAGCTTACTGAAGTTTATTTTATTTGGACCTTTTAAAGTAGTTATAAATAGTTTTGCTGTTGATCCACAGTACACGGCACAGCTTTACTTCTACTGCTTCTTCAAACTGAGAGCATGTCAACCTAAATGTACAGCTAGCTTTTAATTGTGGATTTAGGTTGAACTGGCTGTGGATTAGGACCTCATATAAATTATTTTAATGATTTCATTCCACCTGTTCCACCCATAGACTTTATATATAGAACGAGAGATGAAGCTAAACTATCCAAGATTCGAATGCTGTCATGTTAATGAGCCAGAGTCTGCACCAGAGTTAAACTTGAACATACACCAGTGTGATAAGAACTACCTAAAATGACAGAAACCATGTTTGAGAAAAACTTTTTTCACATGTACTTGACTTTTTAGTTTGCTCTATGTCTCATCTGTCAACGTGGAGGATGCAGGGTTTACGAGCTATACTGCAGCCAGCCACCAGGTTGTGATGGAGACGCTTTGGGTTCACTCATGGATACCTGTTATGACATCCATCTTTATATACAGCCTATGGTTCCATTTGTTATTTCCTCAGAAAGAGGAAATCCACATTGCAGTCATAACAAAAGTAGAACATCCTAACCACAAAGGTTATATATAGCACCGCTACTGGGTTGCATTACATTGTACTGGCTTTCTTGCCTGTGCATCCAACACAATCTATTCATACATTGATCGCATTTAAGGAGCTGAGACATGAATTTAAATTATGCACATAAGTCACACTGGATGGCCATCACAAAATGAGACTTCGCTAACCAGTTTACAGAACTTAACATACTAATTTACAATTCCCCTTCAAGCATTGCCATAGCTCATGGCAGAAAGATGGCTAAAGTTATAGCTAACACATGGACCAGATACAACAATAATCAGCCCTAATCACTACACTGGTAATTGAACCACCAAATCCAGTTAGTCTGGAAATTATCAAGCGCTTTCCTTTTACAGATCTTGTAATGCCTATAACATAACCTTCACCCTCATCATTACATTCTACAACATATTGTCAAATTCAACAAAATTTCCAAGAGAAAAAGTCAATTTAAAGACACTGCACAATGTAACAATAACGCCTCCTGCCAAATGTTCCATTAATAGTGTTCCTCTGTTGTGGGAATAATGTGGAAAACATGATGAGGGTATACGTCACGTCAACCCAAAGCCACAGGGTCTGAAAATAAAAATCTTTTGGTTTTCTTAAAATCCCTTGCACATTATTAATACCAGTTACAGCTCATAAAATAAATGTAAACTATGATGATGATGTATATACAGATTAAGATTTAATACCCTGAATGTTAACTGAACACCCATGAGAGGGTACCAGGGGACAGTTGCTGAAATAACTGCACTTATAAAGTTATTAAAAAAGATTCACCTAAAAATCACTTCATTTTGAACAGCAACTTCAAAAAATAGTGGTTGAACTTTTTGCCAACAGCTAAATGTCACTTAGATTTGTCCGAAACTTGAAGTTCATATATAACACTTCGTGCCCAGGCTGGGTGCTTCAGAATAAAAGCCTAAGGGTTTATAGCAGCTAAAAACTCAAAGAAAGACTGACCTATATATGATGTGCGTTGTTTTTAGGAAAATGTGTAATGATATACATAGGCTCAAGTGTACAATACAACTTTCCCCCATGCTGTATTGTTAAAAAGGTAAATAATTCATAACCCTTATTTGAATAGGGAGATTGAATCAGATGAATCAGAAGATTGTCTCATCACTAATAAACCATGACTCATCTGGTACTGAAATAACATTGATGATGCCTCCTGGTTATCAAAAAATGCATTGGATAAGAAGCCTTTTTTTTTTCTAATACCGCCACGACTCAGTATAGCTAGGTTACGTAGGGTTTTTTTTGCACACCAGCCTCTAGATCTTTTTATGGGAAATCCTGGAGAGGTGAGAACCAGATGGGGATATTGAAAACACCAGAGTGCCGGCTCCCATCATTCATCATCATCAAGGCTCCTGAGAAATTGAAAACAGGCCCCTGAGAAACACAAGTCCAGACACTCACAGATGAAAAGGAGGCAAGCGTCCAATTAGATGCCTGGAAAACAGATTTCTCTTTACCATGCCAAAAACACAGAAAAGAAAGGGGATGAGAAAAAGGGGATGGAAAAAATGACAGAACATATCAAAGGGTTATGGGACAAGAGGATATAATGTATAATAATCGTTGTGTATTTATTGGATTTATAAATGCCTCTGAGAGGATAGTTTCATATTTGTCTTATGCAATGACCTCTAATGCAAAAACTGTTAATCAGAGGAACCTGTCAGACCTGGTTTTATGAGGAGGATGAAATTTACATCAGCAGACATGAGCAGTTATTTGCCATTTGATACTGAATGATGTTGTGATGTCAAAGCTTGCAAGAGATTATTTGTTATTATTGATATAGACCAAAGGAGACTTTACACAACCAAACAATCAGCTTTGCAGACCATTAAGTACAGTCATTTCTTATTTGTCATTTTCGGTCAAAGTCTGTGAAGAAGAAAGACCTGGTCCGACTGTTACCAATTTTAACAAGCTTGCTTTTCATTTAAAAACTTTGCTTCCTACCTGATAAGAGACTCCAGGATGAGAGGAGAAGGACCTTTCTGAAACTCCAGCTCTTTGTAATGCAGAGCCTTGGCATAGGCACGACACTTGGCAGCCCTCTCACCAAGCAGCACAATACCATTATCATCTCTGAGAGGCAGCGGGCCCTGGAAAAAGAAACAAACTGTATAAAAAAGAAAGTTTTTCTTCAAAATTAAACTTGAAAGAACAGTTGTCTAGGACCTCCAGTGTTTTTCTATCAGCAATTTGTTTGGTTTGTGCCATCAACAGAAAATATTCTGCAAATGTGTCACTGACAGTTTTCAACAAACACTATAAAGCAATTACTGTGAATGACTGGAAGGAGGTAGTTTAATATGTTTGATGCCAACAGAAATACACTGAATGCTCTTCTTTCCACTAGCTCAAAGTAGGACACTGTGTTTCTTCAGCTTCGCAGCATGGGGTCCCTGCTGAAACCCATTATTCTCTTGACCCAAGCATGACAGTGTCTGCCCTAAACCTCACAGTACTGTCACTGATTAGCTCAACATGTGCGGTCAGACAGCAGACAAACAGAAAGGCATTCTCAGTAGCCTTATATTTGTCTCCCGACACCAGTGTAACAAAGCACTGCTGTGGTTTTAAGTGTTATCTTCTACATTGCTATTTTTCTCTGTATCACAGCCAGTGTGTTTTCTGATCTGCTTCATCCTTGTTCCTTTTAATTATCTGTTCAGCAACATATTAAATTGTAGTTTGGGAAAAATTCTGACTCACAACATGGCATCTATTCAAACAATAATTTTTACTGTGCTATTTCAATTGCCAGCATCAAAGTTGCCCATGCCACAGGGCAGGTATACTGACTGTGTTGAGAGTTTGGTGGTTCCACAAATATCAGGGCTAATGAGGTGGTTGGGTGGTTTGTTTTGTTCTTGCATTGATACATTTACAGAGCAACAATGCAGGTTCTGTTACTAGCAGTCATGAACGCCACTTTGCATCTGGTTCACTCGCTGGCAGATGCAAAATATAATTCAACAATCATTGAATGCTCTCATGCACAATTTAGTCTTAAGATGATGGCAATGGAAGATAAAACTTGGGTTAGGAAAAACAGATGAGGGAAGCTGCTGCTTTGCCTGCTGAAAACGCAATGAGGCATATTTTCAAATGTGTTTCAACATCTTGTAGTCCATGCAACGTCATGCAAGTCAAATGCACTTTATGTTCATGAAAGGGGCTGGAGCAGTTGGTATAAAAAGCTCCACAACAGATAAATTATTGTTGAGTCATCCGTTCTATGTATAACATCTAACCCTTGTGGACTCAAGATGGGTGGGCGTACTTGTCAGCTCTTTCATAAAGAATTTAGAAAGAGCTGAATTTAAAAACAATAACTTGAGATGTAGACCTGAGAGCAGCTGAATAAAACAGGATGTGCATGAACCCCCTGTCTAAACACAGTGAATCTGTGGTACTGCTGACCTTGTCACTGTGCTCCATAAACTCTGCCAGGTTGAGCAGAGTCTGTGTGACCTCTGCGATGTCCTGGGAGGTGAGAGCTAACTCGATGCTGCGGATGAGCTCATCCTGCTGGTCCTCACTCAGCTCAGACCAACAAGAAAGGAAGGCAGCGTTGAACAGGTCCCTGAGGGCCACACAAACATCATTTCAAACAAAGGCACAAAGTGTGATACAACATTCAATTTGAACTTTTTTTCAGGAGCAGGACTTTAGATTTGATCACAGAGCATTTATTGTATTTTTTAGTGACAATCTGCTTCACATTTACAGACACAGTCACATCTGGAAACTGGTAGCTAATGACATCAGTCTTGTACTGCTGGTAACTGAGTAGCTTCACATGCAGCAGCTCAACAACAGCAGCTGATATTTCAATGGTCGCCGTTCCAACCCCTCAGAGCTTTGAATGCTGTACTCCATTATATTTTTTACGTCTTCAAACCATGAAGACGTAAAAATTAATTGAAAATATAAAAATTGAATCACGTAACTGACCAGTTTTAATGTTGTGGCTGATCAGTGTACAGTGATTTAAGAAAGTTTAAAAATACTTTGTGATCTAAACACTTTGTTTTGATTGTGAATGGATAAAATTGCTTCCTAACCCCATAAAATAAAAAAGTGAAGCTATCTAAAAACCTCCTGCAGGGAGGAGGACATGACAGAGGTGGTGTACCTGGCGAGAGGAATATAGGTTTGAGCCAGTGACCAGCACGATCGCAGGGCTGGGGAGGACGACTCCTTGAGCAACACGACACTCAAGCGTCTCAGCCACTCGAGCCAGTCGTCTTTGGACACCTTCCTGGCCGCACCCCAAGCCTGCAAAGAGACAGAAATCATTGATTTCTGAATTCAATGGGAACTACGTGGGAGCAGCAAAGTTTCTCCAGCTTTCGTGTGTGGGTTGATCTGGCTGAGGTGCACACTCAACTTTTGCTGGAGGTCATCAAATAAGAATGGAACAGTTCTTCCAAAAGGATGCCTATTAGGCAGGATTGATAATTGTAGTGGAGAGAAATGTGGCAAGAGCCTCCCATAGTCATTCAACTTGATCAACAAGATCTGGTGACTGTGGGCGCCATACAGACCTATGATTCACATCATTTACATACTAATCAAACCATTCATGACCCTGTGGGCCCTGCAGGGATGAATCAGCATTCATCTGTTCATTTGTTCTAGTTTTTGAATTTTGTTGATCTGTATGTCATCACTACAAGTAAACTATGGGCTTGGACACAGGACTGTTTAGAGTGCACAATAACAAGTGGAGTAAACAACAACAGTATGCCAGTGGAAATAAGAATATATCTTTCCCCTTCCGACCTTTTGAAGTGCCGTAGTGCTGACGTGAAGCTTCTTCATAGGCCCCGCCTCCACTGGTCCGCTGACCAAAGCATCGCCGTGGTTGCCACGAAGCTGGCGATTGTGGAAGATTAGAGGGTCCTCTTCCTCCTCTGCCAGAGTGTAACCCTATAATAGCAACAAACACACACAAACACAGGCCACACACACACAGAGCCCACACACAGTTTGATTCATGCCTCAAACGTGTTTTGAGGATGTACAAGTGCATTTCATTCCTGGGGGGGGGGCTGTTGATAAACAGCACGCAGTCATGACTGGCTCATGGTGAAATGTGCATGAAAAATGTTTATTTATTATAATGTAATTTACTGCTTGGCTACGTAATATGTAGGATTATACTGTTTTGATCCAGACTGGGCAAGAACAAGAGCTCATGAAGTAATGTGCATAATATCAACTGATGTTTCTATGTTACTAGATATATTGAGTGTGACTTACCTTGACAATGCGACATATGAGTATATCATAACGCTGATGGTTGATCCTGTGTTTCAGCATCACTTTGTTCACCATGGGGATGAAGATCTGATACTGAAAATAAGAGGGAAGGGAAGGAGTGTAAATAAAAGGGTGTATGTATTTTTTTTTTTGTGGTTTAGTCTCGATACCTCTTTACCCTCATCCTGAGTCAAATAACTTAGTATCGTGCTATACTGCACTTGTATCTAACCACAATCCGTCTCAGATCAAAAGCTTCCTCTGTACATTCTCTGCCAGACATGGCACACATGTAGGCTGGTGGCCCTGAGGTTACACCTGAAAACGATAGGATGGTTTAAGGATAAGGGCGGGGACGGCACAGGGAGGGGAGGGGTAAATGTGACCTCATCCACACTCATAAACACTACCCCCCACCACCAAATGGCCAATGACAGCAGTCTGGTAGGAAGTAATAAAGACTGGGGCCAGCAGTAGGGAGGCTGTAAGTAGCTTACTGAATAATAGCTACATCTAAAGGGAGCCCAAAGGACAGCTACAGTTACCTTTTTGCCCAACTGGAACACAAGCGAGGACAAGGTGTCCATGGAGGTAGAACGGAGCTCAGGCGTGCTGTCAAGTGTCCTAACAATTGGGTGGATAATGCGTGAAGCATAGTCTGTGAAGTCCAGGGACTCCGTCAGCCGGTCGAGCGTCTCCAAGGCAACCCTGAGCCACACAGAGGAAAAACAGATAAATAGCCCAGCTTTGCTTAAACACTATAAAGATCCAGAGACAAAGAGAGACAAGGCTGCACCGCAGGATCATTATCTGTGAACTAGATTCCTCTGTATCATAGAAATCCCACATACAAATGTTGTGATGTAAACAATTATATTAGTGTTTCCCAGCTCTTCTTTTCAGTGTCAAAGGAACGGTCTAGTTTCAGTATCTCCACCAAGGAGGTTATGTTTTCACCTGTGTCTGTTTGTACATTTGTTAGTTTTTCAGCAGAAAAACTACTAAATTTCAATGCAAGTTATTGGCAGGATGGGAAAAGGACAGAGAAGGAACAATTTCAATTCTGAAGGGAATTTTATCACGTTCTTTATCATTGCAAGATGGGGTGTTTTTGACATTTTTACTAATTTCCCAGACAATAAAAAAAAATCTGTGATATTAAGGAAACTGATATCTATGAGTGTGAGAAATCTGGTGCAACTTGATTGAATTTAAAGGGGCAGTTGGGTGGATGTATGCACTTTACTGAGTATCATTCTAGTTCTTCCCAGTTTTGTGGTGCCGCTATATAACAACTTAAATTATGTTTAGAAGATACACTAATACAACAAACAATAAAATCCACCAAAGATTTCATTGAAAATATATTTTAACTATTTACTAGATCCTACTACAGCTACATGAACACGGGCCACAGCCATGTGTAGTACTGACTTGCGGGCCTGCGGGGGCACATCAGGGGCATCAAACAGCTTGACAATGGGAGGCAGCAGCAAGTGGAGATAGTCATCCAGGTTGGCACCAAACAGCTGGATGGCGTTCAGCAGCTGCAAAATAAAGCACACAGTGCTCAGTCCCACATACCGCAACAATTAACATGAGCAGTTCATTTTAATGAGTTTGTTGTTAAGGCTCAATCGTTTCCTTCAGGGCTTCTAAAGGAAAGCCGGATGGGGTTTTATTTGCTGGCAAAGTACTGGCATACTGTACATGCCAGCCTTCCAGGAAACCTGTGCATTACAATGACTGGATGAATGACCAGATAACTTCACAGTAAACACACCATAAAATACAATACAAAGTGCAGTGGAGCCACAAAACTCAATACACTTATTTGTAGTTGCAGTTACAGAATACTGTATTACATGTATATATATTGTATAGATTGTGGTGGCATGCCATATTCTAATTTTCCTAATGAACCAACATTTATTTTACACTTCTCATAATAACTTAAGCTATGTCTTACTAGGCATTTTTGTGTAACTATTATATATATAAACACCAGAGTTGACGATGTTATTAGACATCATCTTCTTAACCAAGGTGTAGTCAGAAGAGATGTGTCTTTAGTCTGTGGAGGAAGATGTGAAGACTTAGTGCTGTCCTGATGTCAATGGGGAGCTTGTTCCACCATTTAGGAGCCAGGACAGCAAACAGTCGGGATTTTGTTTTGTGGCTAGCTGTCTCTCAGTGATGGAGCAGCAAAACGATTGGCCAATGCAGAGCGGAGAGGAGTGGACAGGCTGGGGTGTAAGGTTTAACCATCTCCTGGATGTAGACTGGGCCTGATCTGTAAGCAGCATGGTACGCAAGTGCAAATACGGACAGCCTCTGGTAACCAGTGAAGGGAGCGGAAGAGCGGAGTAGTGTGAGTGAACAGGAGGGAGTTGCAGTAGTCTAGGTGTGAGATGACCAGAGCCTGGCCCAGAACCTTTGCCACCTACTGAGTGAGATGTATCTACACGAGCGGGTTGTTGCAACAATGTTGACGGTAAGGGAGAGTTGTCTGTTGAGTGTCACAGCCAGGTTCCTTGCGGTCTGGGGGCTGACTACAATAGTGAAACTTAATTTATAGTTCCCCTTAAACCAAACCAGTTATCAGTCACCAGAGAAATGTGGTGACAACATCTATTCAGAGCAGAAGCCCTATCACATGCCTAGAATAAGTTTGCTTTGAGGCATACTTTGTAGGTGACCTCCCCAACTAACAAGGTACATGATTACTTTCTTATAACAATCTGGTGGTAGTACTCCATGCATAATTTATTCATATAATCAAGGTTAGGATTGCCCTCTATGACATCATCCACCAAGATCTTTCAATGTGAACACTGTCACACACAAGATGATTAAAATTAGCAGCAGCTTAAATGGAAAACAAATGGTAGCTTATGTCATCAAAACATTAACTGTGCAAAGGGTCATTTAAATCCATGATTTCATCATTAGAGAGGACAAATGACCTGAAGACAATGTTGAATGCAGAATGATCAAAATTGTTTGTGCTAAAGTTCTCTGTAAATAAACTGACTACTCATCGTTTAGTAGTGACCCTCCTGTATGATTAGTCAATGTAATAAATATAGCACAGATTGTTGTGAGCACAGTGGAAACTCTTCATGTAATGTCCAACAGTGTGACACCAAGTTTGATTTTGGCACAGGCAATATGAAGCCAGTCTGAACATAAAGTTCTAGAGATGAAACAGCAGGGTGCACACAGTTTTCAGAGTGCTGTTTCCATCCAGCCAGCCAGCTAGCTGTCCATGACACTTTTAAATGACAACGTTACTTTGTGGCTGTTTTGTGAAAAGGTGTCTGTACTCTAGTGTAATAGCAGCCATCGTGTGTGCACCATGTGTGAACAGCGTACGTGAATAGACGGTGGTCTTGAAGGATGACGTATGTCGCAGCCAACAAATCCACCCCAGGCCTCATCACACACCATGACTGCATCTGCACTTTTCCCATACCTCCAACCGCAAGTCTAGATTGCAAACGGCGAGACAGCAGGAAGCAGAGGTGGAGGTGTACAAGCATGTGTGCTGTGGGGTAGTGGAGGCTGGAGAGAGTAGCCCCATAAATGATGGAAGTATGTTTTTCTTTTCTTCTACTTTGGACTAGAGGGTAACCTGATTCTCAGGTCCCCCTTTTCATGACCCCCATCCTGCACTTGAAATTAGACTTCAGACTTAGTTATAGGCTATCCAGACTGTGGGCTGCTGGGTTATCTAATACTGCAGACTCTGAGACAACACAGCACCAGAGGCGAAAGCACTAGATGACCCTGCTCCTTTTGATTCTGTTTTTGTGTTCTTCACCCAAAGCATGATTTAGGGTTTGAAGGAAAACCCTGACAACCACTGGCAGCAGCTGCTGAAACAGGAGAATGTGTCAGCTACAGGTCTATACCAGCTTTAATACGCTGTATTACAAGAGAACGGCTTAGACTTGAGTGGTTGTGATGAATAATGATGAAAACCATGAACATAAAGCAGTGCCACAATATCATTGTCAGTATGTGAATCGAGCTCCTGTACTCCCTAAATGAGTGTGGAATGATGGGTCTACTTTTTGAACGCTCACTCCTCTTGGCAGTGCTGATAAGATTAAATTATCTACCCTAATAACTCCAATTTGTCAAATGTCAAACTATGCTGAGTGGTCAACTCTAAAACTAAAATAGAATCAGTTACGTGACACATTTAGGGTCATGTCATACTATGACGAGCACATTACCATTTAAAAGTCATTATAATTAACAGTAGATACTGTACAGACTATAAGCACATTTAATTGTGTTACCTTTACTCTTTCCTGTACATCTTTCTCTTGCACAGAGTTTTTCCTGTTAAGGCCCACTCAGACTAAACGCTACCTGGCACAATTTATTTTGTGTGATGCAGCCAAGAGCAGGGGAAAAAGGGAATAATGTGAACTGGGCTGTAAAGAAATCGCTGCTGCTGGCATGACTACTATGCTCACAACAACACGAAATTACAACTTTAACAGCGTTTTATCAAACATTTTACTGGCATTAACCTCCGTCACTAACCTGCACCCACTGCAGCCAAACTACAGACCCCCTGCGCAGCTGCTTGTATTATATGCATTTTCTGAGTGGGAGGTCAATGAGAAGAAATCTGATCCCAGGCACTTAAGAGTTGATCTCTGCTGATTAATATTTGGTTTATGAATAGTGGGTGGTTACAAAAAGAGGCGCTCAGAAAAGTAGGGGGAAATGAAAACACTGACAAGTATTCATTTTAAGACAATTTCCATTAATTCACCACATAATTTTATGTGTGAAACTGATAAAGCCAGGGAGAAAATAAGCTGAACCCAACCCGAACCTGACAGGCATTCTGTTTTTTGTGTCAAAAACCAACCAGAACCTGATGTTTGGTTGCCGGTATTAACAGGAAGCAGATTGTCCACTCGAAAAAAACGGAGAACAGGGAACAGAAATGGTGAAAGAGGAGGTATTTCTTTGATTTTGTCAAAGAATTAAACCTGTTACTGACAGTAAGTTCCAGCAGCACTTGCAATTGCTACCACTGGAAGACAAGGCTGGCATTTTATTTTGGAAAAAGGGTCCCTCGATAGCAGCATGATGAATCAGGGAAGGATTTGTTGTGACGGATAAAATACAATCAGGAAACAAGCGTGGATGTACGAGTCATTTCTGAAAGTCTGGGTTTCTGTTCATCCAGACTAACACATCCACCAAGATTTCTAACTAAAGTGGAGCCAGCAGCGTTTCCACAAGTCGCAGTATTCAGGCCTCAAAAACTGCCTGGTTACGATGCAGTTTTTTTAAAGCATTATGAAACCTACTTGGACAGGGCCTAATAACTGCCAAAATTGTCAGTTAGCAAGAGAAAGTTGGAAATAAGGTTTGATGTAAGGCCACCACTTATTTCAATAGACCACAGTGAGAAATCTACATTTTGCTTTTTGGATTCATTTCAACAACCTCTAAGTTTGTTGTATATTTACTGTTTTTATTTTTTCAATGACTGAATGTGTAATGTTCAATTAAAAGATTTTATGTCATCTGTAACTCTGACATGTTAAATTCAATGTGTCACAGCGTAAGGCTCAACCTGACATTTTTCAGATGATTGGATTTCACATGCATTCACATATAATAGAACATTTTGGCTTGTAGATGCCAAGAAAAAGAATGTACACAAACATTTAGCATTAATACAAAACAACAGGCTTTACTGTTAAACATTTTGCAGTGCTGTAAAATATTATTTTGTCCAGTAGCACAGTGAATTTGTGTGGGAGTAGCAGCACCTTTTCAGCAGGTGGTTGGGATACTCTTAGATTTACTCATGGAAAATAAAGATGACAGCACTTCATCCTGATGTATTCTTATAATTGCACTACAGGATTAAGATTTTGTCATCTGGAAGGTTCACTCACCTTGATGGTAACACTGCGTCCGGTGCTGTTGTCGTGCATGAAGACACGCAGCATGTGTGGGATAAGCTGAGGGAGATAGAGCTTGAACTCTCCACCCAGTGCCACCACGATCTGCTCGATCAAAAGGATGATGGTGTTCTGCATGGGGTTGTTTGGTGTCCAGTACTCCTACAGCAAAGGACATAATAGTGTGTTGCTATTAATTACAATAATGGGGTATTTACTTTGAACACTGATAAACCAAGAACCTCTCCACTGGTTATGTTTAGCTCAGAAATGGAATTCAATGGTTCAAGATGAGAAAATTTTCACCCTTCTACCGACCTGGATGACCCGTTTCAAAGCTTTAATATTAATTCATGATAAAAATTTCATTACCACCTTATTGAACAACAGTTAAAAATGTGGGTATATGTAGAGAATCACCAAAACTTTCCAAAGTAAAGAGCACGATCTGCATAAAACTTTCCTTAACAAATAGACAGACGTGACTGGCCTTAAACCGAGTGACCTAAATTAGAGCAAGTCCAACTTCTCCATATAAAATTTTTAAAGATTCGAAGTGTACATCCAAAGCGCTCAGCACACAGCACTACCTCCTTCGCCTTGCTTTGATACAGTGCCTAGTTTGTCCTGGCCTGAGGAATTGGGTCAAAATGTGTTTCCAACAATGAGGTGGGGTGGGAGAGAGACCTTTAGACAGATTTCACTCAGCGATCATGTGCCACAGACGAGCGAGGGACTGTCGCAATACATTGAGAGCCAGGAATGGAGACAATTTCCTGTCCACTGAGGTTGACATCACCGCTCTGTGTGGCTACTTTAGACATAATGACAATTGGAGTTAAGGCGCAGGACTTGAAGTCACGCAACACGTCAATCAGTCAATGGGCCTCAGCTGTGAGATCTGGTGGAGGTGTTTTGTCAGTGACCAGAGGGTTCGAGCAGCCCCCAACTTCCTGCTCCCTCTCTCTCTCTCTCCCCATGGCAGCTGACTAGAGTGCAAGAGAGTGTACATCCTGAATGGTTATTCCAGCCCTCTCATCTGGATGCAGGAGCTGATCTGGAGCAAAAATGAATAGATTCTTTGTTTCACTTGCCATTTATTAACTCAGACGGACTGGAGGCGCAGTGGTCCAGTTCTCTCCATTACTTCTCTCCAGGAGGAGTTACCGCCATTGCAAAAGTGTCATTATGTGCAGGGCAAGTGCAGGGGCTATAGCTTTAGCAGTTGGTGCACTTCATATGCAAAGAATAAATGTCAAGGGTTATCCCCAGTTGTCTTTTAGAAATGAATCAAACAAGTGGAAATAAGAGCTGCATCCAGCACTGCAGTCAAACAGTGTCACTCTAAACAATAAGGAACACTAAAAGGGCAAAACTGAAGATTATCCAAATATAAATAACATGATTTTCTCATTTTCTCAGTTCCACAGCGCTTTAATCTTGACAGTTAAGTACCACACATGATGTGTTTTGCTGTGTGACACGGAGCCAGACCTTCATCCAGGGGCACTGAACACATTTACTTCTAATGAGGAAAGTAGAGAGCAAAACTGAGAGCAATTAAGGGTTTGCAGCTGTTTGTCTGACTCACAGGAAAATAAGAGGCTGGATGATTAGTGTTTAGGGATTTAGGGGAGGAGGAGGAAGGAAGGGGGGGTTTGACAGAGTTACTCACTCTGATGAGGGTGAAGATGTCGTCCATGTAGGGGCGGATGTGGATCTTCACAAAGCACACCACCATTCCCATCTGCTGGAAGAGGAACTGCAGGGCAAGAAGAGCACAGACAACAGAGAGAGTACAATTGTTTATTAAAAAGAGTCAAATAAAAAAATCAACCAGACGGCCTCTTATCTTTTATTTTACAAAGCTGCCTACCTCTCGGATACTGGCATCGCACACCCGGATGACATTGAGGAAAGTGGGCATGACTTGCGGTAGGAACTGGACACACTTGAGGCCAAGAGACTTGAAAATGAAGGTGACAGCCTGGACTACCATCGTATGGTGGTTGGACAGTGAAGGGTCCCTCAGGATGCGCATCAGAGTGACGATTGCCACGGCTGGGTAAAACTCATCCAGAGGCAGGTTGCCCATGTTCACTAGCATCTCACTGGTGCTGTAGTCGGCTGGGAGGGAGGGAAAATAGAGGAGCTCATTATTAGATTTATTACTAACTCATCATACAACACTTGCAACATCTCATACTCTTGTGGAAGAAACTAATATATGGTGTGGAACAAGTATTTCCTAATGGTGCATCTTCAGAGATGAAACCACGTCCAAAAGATGTCCAAATTTACTATTAATAAGTATTTCATAAAATTTTAATCAGTCAGGATTAGGAACTTGAAATAGGCTGAGTCAACTGCACTGGATCCCACCATGCTCCCATCTAGTCACAGATACCGTATCTCAACATGCAGGGTCCAACAATCCTCTTAAATTCAATTCAGCGTTGCACCAGATTACACATACTCAGATATCCATCCTTGCTAGACTGTATAGGTTGCCATATTCTAATTTTTCCAGCCACAGTTTCAATATGAAAAAAACCACCCTCTCTCACAACATTAAAGAAAGTAAAAAGAGAATACTGGATCCACCCCCTTAACCGGATCTGCATCAACATTTAACAGTGAAAAAGCAGATGAAAACATAACCTCCTTGGTAGAGGTAATTGCCCCTCTGTAACTTTGATTAGAAACCAAACTGTATTTTTCTCATTATATACATCTGAGAAGTACAGAAATAACTTCAAAGTATGAGTTACAGATGGAATATCTACATTTTGCATAAAAGCAATGATGGGTTTTCCTGCTGTTTAAAAGTGTTACAGAACTGCAAATACTTAAGTTGATAATAGCAGCTTAAATGTGTTTTATTCTACTGTTAAAAAAGTGGTTTGATTTCTGGTTGTGGAGGGAAAGATTTTGTTTTTAATTTACATTGTGAAGCAAGGACACGTGCCAGTGAGCAGCAATGAGGTCTTTCTATGGTTAGATGGTAAAACTCCTCCTCCAGCTCGATTGTCAAGAATAAAGCTGTACATTTGAAGTGCTTCTGGCTTTTTTTAAATGATACATCTCGAGGATTGGAGTTGGTTTCAAAACTACAAATCAAATTCCAGCTCCAACTTCATTGGCACAACCGCGTGTGAATATATAGGTCTGAAATCTGTGCCGTCATGATTCTCAGAGACCATGAGCCAGGCAATAATTCTGCAGAGTGCACGTTTTATATCAACAGTGATCTATAGCATCCCAAACCCACCCCCCCTCTCTATCCAAATTAACACCTCCACTCCAGAAACTAAATACAGCTGAAAAAGCTTCTGGTGCTGGCTATTAGCTTCGACAACAATAATGGGCTGATAGGAGAGACGATATTTTTGGCTTGTTGTTGCTGGCAGTTTGTCAGTTCTGTCACAAACCTCCATTATAGTGTTGGCCAACAAATCAAATGAGAATATTTTCTCTCCTTTTTTAAACAAGACAAAGCTTGATTTCATTAGTTAATGACCATATCCCGTGTGTTTGGTCTTGTTAAAATCCCAAGAAAAAATATGGAATAATAACTTTACTTGCCAACACAAACTTTCTCTTCTGGGATATGTTTCATTTTTGTTTTGCTATTATGATGTATTGGATTCAGTGCCAAGTGTGTGTTCAGATCATGAGCACTCCAAGGAAAAAATTGAAGCCTCCTCTCTCCATTCAATAAGACTGCTGCATTGGTACAGTGGAGATCCAGACACGAACAAAAAGCCAGAACATGTCCACCAGATAGAGTCAAAGGTAATCCAACTTTTGCCACAATCCAATCATGTGTCAAGGCTCCACCTTGACCAATCAAATCAGTGCAAAATGTGAATGTGAGGTGTAGGACACCAGACTTCACGTCCTATGGCATCATAAGAACTGCAGTGTTTTGGTGTCTGATACATTTTCCAGCCAATGGAGCTACAACTCAATACAGCTTTCCTGGGTCAGATTTGATCTTCGCTTGAGTACCTGGAGGAACACACCCCAGTTCTTTTAAATAGTGCCATTTTGATCTGAGCACATCATAAATCTAACTTTTAGCCTAGAATGTAAGATATTCGTGTGTTTGCTGCCATCTGCAATACACAGAAACACTTCATGAACTGGAGAACCCGAGGAGCCACATGAGGGATTTGGGATCTATTCCCAGATTTAGAAAGCACAGAAGGCCGACAAGTCTTCTTTCTTGTTTGTTTTAAAATATACGAAGCAACAGTGGGGTTTTTTTTAAGGCTTTTATAAATGTTTTCCCTGTCAAACAATGCAAAGGGGGTCAGTCTGTCCATACATTGTAGAGCTACTGGGTTTTACAAGACATCTGAGAATACAGACGTCTGGTATCCAGCGTTTCCCTGGCCCTCTGCAGGAGTACAGTGTCGGCTGCTCCACTTGTCTCCCCTCAGACTGGACAGCAGACATAACCAATTGGCAAGGAGCATATAAGTAAGAGGGCAGCTTTTCTGTTGGATCTTTTATTATTCCAGCCTTCAGCGAGTCTAGATAATGTCAGCAATTGATGGTTACACATCTGTTATCTTTTAAGCCCACAAACAGGCATCAGCGTAGCTACGTGAGGCAGCAGTACTGTAGAAATTCAGGCTTCAGATGTGTAGTGGGGGAAAACCCTTACCAAGGAGAAATACACATCATGTCCTCAGTTTTATGAGCCGGGTGTTCTGAAGTGACGTGACCGTTCTTGTTTGAAGTCAGGTGAGAAGATAAGCTCAGCCACTGACCTCCCACATAACAAAACACATGCTGCCAAAGATGCTTGCTCTCCAGACACACTGACTCTGACAAATCCGCCAACAGATATACAGTGTCCAATTCTGGTCACAGTCCATTTAGCTGGAGAACAAACTGGTAAAACTATTACCCCATCATCCAAGGTCACATACTGAGACACATGACTAGACCAGACAAGTGCAGACCTGCGTTCTTCATACCCGATTCACATGACGAAAGACAGATTAGCCTGTTTATTGCCATTATTATGAATTTTCAAGATCCCCCGGAGAAAAAGGGCAGATGACAAACTGCTTAAATTTTTCCATCCATGATAAGGCGTGTAAAAACCTCTTAAATTCTAATGACAGTTTCTGTGGTTTATCACTGTCAACGGAGGATGAATGCAAATATTTATGGAGTTTTACGCCACATCTAGAGTGGCTTAAAAGAACAAAAATAATCATTGTTATTTCTTTCATGCTGTGGGAAAAAACCTAGCTTAATACTGTCAACACATCTTGTGTTTACCCTTGCTTACTAACTGACTTCAGTGTTTGCAGCCATTGGTATCTTGAAGTTAATCTCATGGGTTCAAATTCGGCGCTGCAGGAAGAGTGCTGGGAAAGGATATGACTCAAATGTAAAACCTGGTAACAAATGCCAGTACTTGGACATGAATGTATCTTTCTACACAGACGCTGCCTCAGTGGTTCTGTTCTGTCAGATACATTTCATTCTTTGCTCTGATGGTTTATGACAACAAACATATTGACTAAACAGACAGCAGAAGGACGATGAATGATTCAGTTGATATGGTAATGCATTTAAGTGAATAAGGGCTGTATCAGTAATCAACTGTCCCACGTAAAAATAGTGATGTCAACCATTTACAATATATCAAACAGAGGATTCTAGTCTGTCAAATTGGATCACCTTAAATTAAATATCTCCTCTTTGAAAGATGTGAGCTGGTTATATTTCTTTCTCAACTGGCAGGGCCTCATCCTGGGGATTAAGCTGGGTGTAGATCAGACACAAGCCAGAAAGCAGATCCTGAAGAACTGAGGCTCCCACAAATCACCAACTCAAAATGAAAGTTGCGGCTGACTTTTCAATTGCAGGGTAAAAAACATAAACGTTTCCCTTCTCGGCACTCTATTCATAACAAGCTGTAGATTTATAAAATGTCAACCAGCCAGACCATACATGATAATCATAAGTGTTTTTGGTCAGGCAAGATTTCAGTGGTTTGTGTGGGCCAGATTCAACAAGTCAAATGTTTGAAGAGGTATTGAGTTCCTCTGAAGAATAGTTCTATTCTGATTAAAGTAAAACTGTGCTTGAAATGTAATGATGTGTTTTACCCACTGACTTGTAACTGAGGGAAAACTTTGTAAGCATTCATGTTTCAATATGCAACACAAGCATAAAGCATCTTTCATAAAAAGGTCCACCAACATATGACATGGCAGTCAGTAGTTACAGGAATCTAAATAGAAAACATTACATTCATGCTGACAGTGTAAAATGCACAGTTTGGTAAAGGTGTGGAGAGGCATGCAGGTGGGCATGTCGGGATGATTGTGATGTTTCAATGATCTCCATTGCAAGAAGCTTCCTGGTGATGTGTGGGGCTATTGCAGCAGCTAATGCCTTTGCTGTTGTTTCAATAGTGGATTTAGCATGTAGGTTGCATAGTTTTTGTTTGGTTTGTTAGTTTTTTTCCCCCCTTTTTACAATATTGGGTAAAAAAAAAAGTGCTTTTCTAGTCTTGAATACAGTTTTTGCCACTGACTCATTCACACACACATTCATACAGTGCATCTATGTGCAGCACTTTCTCTATTACAAGGGGCATTTTTGGGGTTCAGCATCATGCCCAAGGACACTTCGGCATGCAGAATGGGGAAGACTTGGATCGAACCACTGACCTTCTGGTTAGACGGGTAACTACAGGTTGTAGAAAAACACTTCGCTGAATAAGTATGTCCTCACAAAAGAATGAGGGTAGAGGTGAAGATGGATATGGATACAGTGTTTACCATTAATTATCTAGATTATTGCAGGCTTGCCATTTTCTAATTTGTCCCACCACAGTTTCATAATGAAACATAAAACTTTTTACATTTCTCCTAATAACATAAGAGATCTCTAACTTTGCCTGTACTGCACTATTTGTACTTGCTTGCACTGTTGCTCTACCGTGAGCTACAGCAAGCTCGCTCAATGGTCCAAAAGGTTTTAACAGATAAAGTAGACAGTCAGACCTTATGGTGAACCTGTCACTCAAAATCTTTTGCGCGTAAGAGTGACCTTCATGTGGGTTCACGTGCACCCCTGTTGCGGCCCTAGATTGAATTAGATTTATGGAATACAGTGTGGTACGGTCAGCTGTATGTGTGTGGAGCAAAGTAAAGCTGAATTGGGAGAAAAGAGACAGGGACGCAATATCTTAAAAATGTTGTGAAAACTGGAATATGTAAAACCATCTTTTCAGCAAAAAACATGCACGCAACACAATCTTCAGTTAGAATATTATCAACCCTAATGTCACAGAAGAACTAATGCAGCAAATTATTACTGCAAATGTCTGGTTTTACATCTGTGATGCTTTTTTCTGAATGACATTTACATTGATCCTCTAAAATGGAAACTGTTTTGTGTTTGTGACCTTTAAAACTGAAGTTGTTTGTTCTAATGAGAGACATCACAGTCCATCTTTAAGATGTGTGTTATATCTACGCCTCCTGCTGCCAGATCTAACCACTTCCTCCCCGGAGTGTTGATGTTAGTACAGAGACAGCCTGTGTTTGTTTCCTAATGCAGATGTGCTTTGAGAGATGGTCGGGGCTTAAAGGAGACAGAAAATCCACCGTTATTTTGATGGAACATCTTTTCCTGAAAAACATGCTATAAACAATACAGCATATAACCACTATGGCATTTGCAGCATACCTCCCCGAAGGCCCAACAGTCCTTTAAATTCAATCAAGCTGCACCAAGTTACATGAACTCATTGATATCATCAACATCTGTGAATTATTCGCTGGGAAATTGGTGAAAATGCTAAAATACTACCCTATCTCAAAAATCCTGGATCCACCACCTGATCTGTATCTGCACCAAAGTTGAATGGTTTCTCCCCTGACCTATACTACATCCTTCCCACAGGCTTCATGGAAATCTGTTCAGTTGTTTTTTAATCTTGCTCACAAACAAACAAACATGAAAACATAACTTCCTTGGTGGAGTTAATTAAATGATAATACCTCTGCCTCTGGGTTTACTTGGCCATTAATTGAAGATTCCACAAAAATAATATTATGGTCCAAGGCTGCAATAATAGCAAGTCTTCCATAGACAAAGTCTTTTCAATACTTTCCATTAGGCTCACACAGATTTACAAAAATCATAGCAACAACTCCAAGGTCTCCAATTGATAGACCCACACAGCGAGACTCTCCATTGCCCTGAGAATTGAACAGGCCTACTGGTGTAACATCACAGCCAAAAATAAGTAATAGTGATGACATTCCTACCTGAGTCCTGACTGGACTTGGACTCAGAGAGACTGACAGCAGAGGCGTCTCGTGACTGGTCAATCATCCCGATGTTCACCTTGTGCTTGTAAGGGTCCAGAGCTCCGAGAAGACCCAGAACACGGATTGCCTGTTGAAGACACACTTAGAAATCCTGACAGACTCTTGCACTTGATTTTGATTTAACTGTGTATAATTATTTATGTGATTACAGTATTTACAAAATTGTGGATGTTATGACACCTTTTTGTGACATTTCCACTGAAATCAGGCTCAGCCATCTCAGGCCTATTTGATGCTTATATGAGATAATGTTAGTTAGTGGGATATTCCTTAATTAATATATTTTTACTGAGAGGAGCTTGCGGATTCAGGATAAAGAAATACTGGAAATCATGGCAGTAAGTAAAATGTCAACCTACACTGGGTACACAACTGCTATTGGATAATAATAATAATGGGATTCAAGGTCTATTTAATAGTGGAGACAACTTGCAAGAGATGCCCAGAGCCAATATCCACATGCCACAGACCATACTTGGTGACAAGTCACACTCTGAGCCACACATAATTTAATAGGCGACAGAAGAAATTATAAAATTATCACTTACATCAGAGCACAAGACTTAGGAAAAAGTTCCACATAACTACATATAACTATGGAAAATGTGCCTCATACAGTAGGTATTCATGTGACTATAATTCACTGGTCAAAGTCAGTACATCTTAACAGATCTTCGTTTGTTTGGTAAATGCTGACAGGTAGGGTTTTCCGGCCTCATACTGAGCCACTATGACCAACAGCGTTTCACATTTCTATAAAGACGACTGAGATGAAAATGAAGGTAGAGGCCCCTGTGCATACCTCTCTCCTGATGCCCTGGTTTTGTTCCGTCTTGAGGAAGTTGAGCAGCACCTCCAGAAGAGAAGGGTACTTGCGGTAAGGCTCCACCACATAGCCTGTACTAGCCACTTGCTGACCCAGTGTCCACAGTGCCACCTGATGGAAAAGTCAGACACAGAATCTCTGATCACAGATAGAGCAGCATGACACAAAATGTTTAGAATGAACTTTTCTTTACATTGAAATGTGCCTATTTAATAAATAATGCAACAAGAGTTACTGTATTTGGATTTTGTCATATTAAAAATAATAATCTCAACCATTATTTCTGTTTGCTTGCTCTTTCCAACATTTCAAAACTAGCTTTAAGCCTCTTATTGATCAGCCATTTGAATACTGCAGGAGTTATAATGAAATGCTTCAGGATAATCTCAACTCCTGGCACACTATCCTGTTTGAGCAGGAAATACCAGAGGCACAACGTTCTCTTGACTTTTTGATCAACTTAAAACGTTTCCAGATATCATATCCTGTTGTGTTTACTAAAGTAAATGTGCATTCACTGTATCCACAGAATAAATATCTTACAGAACCTGGAGAAGTGCTGAGGAAAATACAATATTAAAACCAGATGAAGCAGATACTCATTTTCTTCACATACCTGTCGCTTGGCCAATGAGGAGGAGTCTTGCAGCATGTCCATGATGATTGGAAAAAGTTCGTCCATCCACTTCCTCATCTCCAGGCCGCTCACCTGGCGGCACAGAAGAACCAATCAAAATTGTGAACAACTGTCCAATTTTCTGTCAATAGGATCCTAACATCTAGGGGAACAAATTACATAAACATGACAAGTAAGCTTGTCTATAGCCATAATCCCCCCCCCCCCATAATGTTTAGAATTAAACATTTTTTTAAAGCATCTGTCATTTTATTGTGAAACATCATGTAAAAATTGGAGCTGCTTCTTTTTTACTTTCAGCCTCTTCTTCTCAGTGTTCCTGCGTCAGATTTATCAGGTTGGGGTGTCTTCACTCCGAAATCCCACATTATTTGTTCATTTGCATTTTCTATGTTTTCTTGTGTCCTCCTCTGTTGATTTTTTAACGTCCAAAGAGCAAAACATATTTACTTTTAACAACTTTATTCCCATGAAACATGTTTCGATAATTAAGCTGCTCTTCCTACACTGAGACAACTGTCAAGACTCCTCTGTGAGGACTATTGTGCCTCGTAGACTACCTCTGTATTTATAATACATTGAATATGCACCATGCTGCTATTGCCCCGAACCCCATTCTCTGACAATGTTATTTTTTCAATGTTTTTTATTGTATTACTTAATTTCTCTGTGTTTCTACAGTTGCCCATTGTGGCTTTTAATCAAATATTTTAAAAGAAAAAGATTTCAAAAAAGGACAAGTTATTTTCATTTAAATTGTTACAGCAAAAGGCTCACAGGTTAACAGAATCTCATTATTCACTTCTTATAAAACATGATCAAATTTCAAAGACCATTTTTACCTGAGCCAACTCGCCAATGGTCGCAAGCACACTAATGACCACTCCAGGGTTGGGGTCTGGGTCTTTCAGTTTGAGGATGAGAGCCTGTAAATGAAAAAAAAAAGATAAAAGAGTTACTTAACCTAGGAAATGAGATTAATGGACTGTGGTAAAGTGCACCTACTACACATGTTCCCCTCAGGTAACCATCTGCTTTACATTCATGAATTCATACACCTTCACAATGGATAGGTAACAGAGTTGTACCTTGAGGATGGGCTCCATGTACGGCCGTATGAGGCGGGGGGCATTGGAGACCAGATGGCCAAGCATACGAGCACTCTGCTCTTTGTTCCTGCCGACACCACTGTGCTCCAGCTCTGTTAAGATCTGCAACAAAATTCAAAATTGAGTAAAACATAAAACACTCACTCTTCTCCATCTGGAATTAATCTTAATGAGATTAAATCATACTGTGCACCTGTGTTGCTGTTGCTCCCTAATGTCTTAAAGAAAGAACCAAAAACCAATTGCACTTTTTAAACTGTGGATGATGACATGGCCTATTCTGCCCTCTACTGGTATCTGACTAAAACAACAGGTAACAAGTTTTTCCACGTACAGCAAATATGTATTGAAAGATGGAGAAATTGCTAAATATTTTAATTCTTCTCTTGCAGAAAATATAATGAGAAAACAGGTGTTAATTTATAAATAAAACAAATACTACATTTCTTACTTAAACCAAATATTTTCATGATTTGACCTACTGAGAAAATACTTCCATTAAATATTGAAGACAGGCTAAAAAGTACCGTGCTGTACTTGATCCAAAGCACCAATTTGAGTATTGACTCAAATCCTCAAATTGAGGATGGACTATGGCAGATTTGAATAACTCAAAGTGCCTGACTGTAACCCTGACCTCAATTTGATCCAATATTTAGCTCATACTGCCACTGTTTAACATCTGGGGTTGACCTTTGACCTTTAATGCCAATCAATGCCACAAAAAAAACGTGAAACAGACAATTTAATTTTACTGTGTTTACACAAAATCCAAATGGGACCTTCCATCATAATAAATCATTAAACTAATCATTGTGCCCCCTGTTGTGCTTCCTGTTGTGTTTTGTCCTACCTGGATGAGCATCTTGCGAAGGAAGGGCATAACAAAGGCGGGGTTCATGCTGCTGAGGCGTCCAATTGTGCAGATGGCGAGCTCCCTGATCTCAAACACCTCATCGTTCAGTGCGACAAACAGTGCCTGCAAATTTTCAGCCTGGGCGAGGTGAGTGTCAAAACGCTCATCAAGGGACGCCAACACGCAGTACCGTATATCTGGATCTGCCGGGAACAGGGACAACATCTTGGGCCATTACAGCTGTTCACAGTTGTGCTTAAGTCACCAATTTCTAATAGTCAAATTCTGGTTGTACTTATTTTGAGTTTTAATTTTTAGCAACCTTAATATACAGTATATCATTATAACAAAATCACATGGTACAACCACACCTTTCCTCCTGCATTCTTATTCTTTCATGTCTCACCTGGGTCAGTGATTCCAACGACAAGCAGCTTGCTGAGCACATCTGCAACGACCTGCACAGCTGTCTGGCTGACAATTTGGCCACTGATCAGGTGGATGGAGGGGGTCAGAAGGCGTGAGCATGTCCGAGCCGCCTCCATCCGGATCTCCTTGTGTTCACTGTTCAGGAAGTGATCGGCACAGTGCCGCACAAACTGAGTGAGAGAGTGTCCTGGTAATAGAAAAAGAAAAGAATGAAGAATGGGTGAACTGCAGGATTTAGCATTACAGCAACTTTTTTAGCTTCAAAACAATTAAGAAACTATATTACTGAGGCTTAAATAAGTGATGACTTACTTCATCTTGTATCTAAAGGGGGAAATTAGTTACAAATAAAAAGACAAGACAACAATTCACTCCCAGTATTTGAAAGACTGCATGTTACCTGAAGCCCTATGGGTCCAGTCTGGAGAAAAGCAGCACACCTATCAACACTATTGCTCCAGCAATTTCTGCAGTTTACTGAATCATTTAAGTCTTCACCCCCAGTGGTGGTTTACACCTGATTGTCTATGACTGCAATTAACAACCAGATCAGATGCATTCTCTATCATTTATTGTTTTTTACCACAACATAACAAACATAATCAGTCAGTCATTGTTCCCTGCCAACAGAACCAAATCAAGATTTTAGATATAATATATAAGTCCTGCTTTGCCCAATTTTTTTGTGTTGTGAGTTCTTCAAAGCTCTTACCCTCAAATTCAAAGCTTCCTAGTGTGCGCAGAGCCAGTGTGATGCTTCCCACATCACTTGCCTCAGGGATGTTTGTGAGGCTTGGTGAGGCCAGCTGGTGAGCCAGGCCTTTGGGCATGCCCGGATGACGCAGTGGCTTGTGCATCAACACCAGAGAAAGCATCTTTAGAAGACCGTCCTGGATGTCCTTCTTCAGCTGGGGGATTTGACGGCTCAGGTCATAAAGCACTGCTGTCAGTGCAGGACTAGATGAACAGGAGAAAATGGACAAACAGCCCAATGTCATCATTGTATCTTTAGATAAGGGCAAGGAAGTGTGTTCTGGTGCAGTTGTCTTCAAATATAAACTTTAAAATTACTGTATAAATTATGTAACAATGGGATTTAACGGAATAAATAACAGCTAAATAAGGTACTTAGACTTTATAATCTGGATTTAAAGTAGCTTCATTTATAAACCCAGCCAAAAGATTTAATCCAGGCATTGGTAAAACTTCAATGAAATATTTAGCAGTGTGACAACACTACTTTTTCATACCTGAGGCCCACAGCTAGCATAGGCTCCAGCAGCTCCTTGATGTCTGGCTGGATGCTGGGACCCATGGCTCTGGAGAGCATGCTGATACAAGTGAACACTGTGGCGTCCACCTGCATGGTCTTCTGCCTCCTGCACATACAGCATGCAAGACCGGAAAGTAAAATAAAAAACATGCAGTGCAGTCTCTTTTCATTTCATTGACAGTATCTCAAAATAATTTTAAACAGGTCCCCACAGAGCATATACTACCCAAAATATAAATTTCCTATCAAAAACTGTCAAAATTAAATCAGTTCCTTATGGACTGACTCACTACCACTAACCAACCAACCCTCAATAGTAAATATTAATTTCTGACACATCATTACATCCACTGTGTCATTGCATCCCACATTATTCTGCCTCTTTTTAAAAAAGAAGCAGAGCAAAGACTCAAAGCAAAAACTCCAATAGGACATTGTCATGCGATTAATCTACATAATTCGACAAATATCTGAATACTACATAAAATAATTTTATTATTTCTTATTGATTACCTTATTCAAGTTAAGAGGATGAATTGATACTGTTTACAGGTAGTGTCTTAAACTATTGTCTTCATCGGGTAAATATTGGCCATGTAAACAGAGTCACTACCTCACTGGGAGCTGTAGAGTCACACAACAGTCATTTAAAATAAATATACATTTTCTAAAGACTATAAACTGACGTATTATATTGTGTTTGATTACTGACTTGTGTGCAAAGTCCTTAGGTGGCAGAGCAGCTTTGATGATCTCCAGGATCTTCGTGAGGTAAGGTTGAATCTCTGCCCTTACAGCAACGACCAGCAGCCCCAGAGCCTGGAAAGCTGCCGTCCTCTCCTTCTCCTTCTTCAAACAGCCCAGCAGGTAGCCCATAGTGTCTGACAGGTACTGGTCTGCACAGTGGATTGAACAACCGCAATGCAAAATATTAAACACATATGTAGGTCTTTATATAAGCTGCAACACATATGTCAACCAACTAGGGGAATTTACAGGTAATTTATTACATCAAAGCCCACTGATATTGGCAGAGACCAAAGAGTGATAGTCATGATCTCTTCTGATTTCTAGCATATAAGTAGTGGATAAATTGATGGGAAGAAGATGGTAAGCAAGGCTGCATGTTACTGCGTGAGTTTCAACTGGATGTAGGACAGTCAAACATGAATTTGTCCCACCTGTAAAGATATGTGGCTGGAAGGCAGCCAGGCGTGGAAGCAGGTTGAGGATGGTCATCTGGATCAGAGGGTTTTTACTCGTCTTGTATTTCAGCACCCACCGACACACCTGGACAAAGAACATAATATTAGCTTCTGTCAAATATGATCTGTGAAACTCAAACTAGCACTGGCATTGTGATGTTCACATTGTGACATATTTCTCAAACAACAGCAACGCTGTCAGAGCTGAAAAGTTTGACACTGCAGTCTTTTTTCATTTTTTTCCAAGTTATATGGGCAAAGATCAAGACCACAGAAATCAGTTCAACTTATGAATAAATGCTTTGAGAAAAAATATGTGGATAGACCTCGCTCCTGCACTGGATTTACAGGATAAATTAATTCCTCTTTATCATGTTGAAACTAAAACAATCTAAGTTCACATGAGCTCTGTATCAGTAATAATTGCCATTAATTCTGACAAACCTTCAAACACATATCATGGACAGTGCATAGCGGTGTTAAAAGGACACAAATTGTCTTCTCTGCAGTAGGTTACAGAAAATACTGTGAATTTGAAACAGCAATGGTGAAAAATAAGAGGAGAGATTTCTTTTCATGGACCCATGATGAGGTGGAACTGCTCTGACTGGAGTTTGAATGTGGAACTGACAGTAAATGTTAGCAATGCTTTGCCTTCACCGCTTGTAGTCAAGTTGAGACCAACCAGGAAGCAAATGCGGGTGACTGTGTCATCAATTCCAACTGTCCCCGTTTCTGCCAGTCTCGACTACAGCACAGCACCCAAGTTTTCAAACTAAAACTAGACAAACAGTATTTCCATCTCAAATGTTTTCGGCACTCAAATACGTGGACAGCAGGTGTAAAAGTAGCAGCAGTGATGGATTTTAAAATGAAAACATAGAATGTGGATGTAGTCTCAGGGGCACATGAAATAATCCTGCGTTCACTGGGTAATCACTGTAATCAACCCTGACCTCCCTCTGCCACCCCTATCCACCTGATCGAATCGGTCCTCCATCAGCTCACGGCAGTATCTGCTCTCAACCAGAGAGTTCTTAGCAGGTACCGGTGTGGCTCCAAAGCTGAGGAAGCCCTGAGGAGTACTGTAGCCCAGCAAGCCCAGGAGGGCGTTTGACTGCTGCGGCTGCACTGACTGGAAGCTCGTGAAGGGTGTGATGTGGCGGGGCTTGGCTCCAAACCCCATCAGCTCCTTGCAGTACTTATCGTGGACCAGTTGCTGCTGTGTGATTTCCTCCATCTCCTCACGCATGCGCTATCAAAGAAAGGAGACAGTCAGAGGAATGCTTTGCTTTTGAATATGAGAATGTGTCCACTGTGAAATCAGGACTCACCTCTCCTTCCATGCTACTGATGCGAACCAACTCATTCAGGATCAGGAGGGCGCCATGGACCCTGTCGTCACGATTCATTCCTTTCTCTTTTGCCAAAGTCTCATCAAAGCCTTTTTCTGACTCCTCAAAGGTTTGCTGTTACAGAAAAGACACTGATGATGTTTAATACCACGCAAATATAACAAATGCTGTTATACTAAACACAACACATGTGATTTGCTAGTACACAGTGGAATGTTCTACCTTGTACCACTGTGGTTTCTGCATTTCCTTGGTCTCCCTCTGCGTGGTGAGGATGAGACAGGCTCGCAGGGCAGATACAGCTCCTTCTCGGATGGCCTGCTTGGGATCCCATACTGCGTAAAAGATGTTATCGAAGAAGGGCTGCACTTGCTGAAAGAAGAAGGTGGGTGCGCTCACAGCCAGCTCCCTCAACACCAACACCTGGAACAGACAGAAAACCATTCAATGATTAGTCATTAATCGTCTCTCTTAGGTTTATTTCTTTCCAGTGTAAATAAAGAGTAAGTTTAGGAACTAGAAAGCCATCATTTTATTACAGTTCTGGAAACAAAATCTGTCTGCACTGCTGCACCTATGAATTACAGTCTGTGTGATCTTTGAAGCAAGCCTGTTTCAGAAGACTAAACTCCATCCTTTGAGGGTCTTGGTGGGAGCTGGAACCAATCCCAGCTGACATTGTGCAAGAGGCGGGAAACACCCTGGACAGGTTGACAGCTAATCACAGGGCCAACATACAAACAATCATTCACTCTCACATTCATACCTCAGGTCAATTTAGAATCTCCAATCAACCCAATCTACATGCCCTTGCACTGTTGGAGAAAACCCATGCAGACCCACAGAAAACATGAAAACTCCCAAACCAGGAATCTTCTCAGAGTGAAGCAACAGCTTTAACCACCACATCACCATGCTGCCCCCCCCCAACTCAGGTTCTTTCCTGAAATATTTGTTAACTAGATGCAATATTTTGGACTCCTCTCGACTGTAGAGTGTCTCGGCAGAATATCTTTAACATTCAGTGTCAAGCAAACTTAAAAAGGCAGTCATAGATTCATGTGTTTGAATATAATGGTGCCACTCACATGAAAGTACTTCAGAATAGATTATGTTTACTGCTACAATGAGCATGAATGCCTGAATATGCAATGTATGCTGTGTGACCTTACTCACTGCTTTACTCACACCTTGACTGGAGTGTCTTCTATTAATAGCTGCACTTATATAAAGAACCAGAAAACTATGCCAGCCCAACCAACTAAGAAACCATCAATTTCCTTTTTTATGAGCTTATTACAGATACTGGCAGAAAATTGAAGAACACAGAGACAACTCAAAATGCTAAAGTAAATAAAAAGCATTCTTACATTTGTATATTTAATGATCCCTGAATATAGAGTCCAAGTGTTTCAGAGAATTATTAAATTCTGGTAAATACATCACTTTCATTCTGCAAAAATTCTATTTAATTTGGGGATCATAATATTGATGTACACTGTAGTAGTTATAGTACCTTAATTCCAAAGAACATTTGCCATATTACAAGAAAAGCAAAACCTGTCTACTCAACAGCCACAAGTAAGATTTCTTTCCAGGGAAAACCGGGAAACAAATCCAAAATTAAACAACTCAAGCTTTGTAAAGTAAATAATGAAAAATACACTAGGGAACAGTTCTCAGTCAAATTATTATCTGCCCTCATCTCCAGCACACATAATACACCACCAAGACTGAGTGGTATTTCAACAACAAACAGCTGCCTGCTAGTCACTTACTGATGCATGGCGTCTGCCTTCATTCCTGTCTGCTCCCAACCACTCCAGGGCCCTTTTCACCTCAAACTCCACATACTCAGCAGTGAAGGTGTCCCCAGCCATAGACAGGTGGCCCATGGCTTTAGAGGCCATCTCCATCACCACAGGGTCACTGGAGGGGAGCAGGTTGCGCAGGTAGTTGGCAAAACGGCTGATCCTGGTGGCATTTCCTCCCTCAACTCCAATCAGACTCACTGAAACATATTAACTCAGTTAAATGCTGTTTACATAAGCAATATTTCATGTAATTTACACAAAGGGAAATAAATTGTTTCAATCTAATTTCGGAATTTCAATACATGTCTGTGTTTAATTCTTACCGATGGCTAGAATGCCTCCTTTCTTCTCATTCACATCAGAGCTGGATACCAGTTCAAATATGTGATGGTTCAATTCATCATAGAATGTAGTGGCTTCATCTTGGCTCAACTGTGGTAGACACAAAACAAGCATGTCAAAAAAAAAATATGTGGGAAGTGGAGTAATTAATATATATGTCTATACATGCTGTTGATTCAAATCCAGTCCTGAAGCAGTGTAAGCAGTCGATTACTCTACAGCTCTTGTGGCAGTAATACTTTTGTAGTGCATGGTGTATCTGAATCCTCATGAAAGGCTTGTTACACACATGTTTAGGTTTGCTCCTACCTCTCTGAGCTCTGTGGTCACATAGTGCTGCAGATCTTTGGCAGATTTTGCTCTGGTGTCTTCATTTCGACTTTTCAGCCCACTGACAAACTGCTGCAGCACAGTGGCTGTGCCTGACATGATCACCATTTGGACGGCCTTCTCTTCAAGTGGACGAACATAAAGCAGTCATTTATTCATTCACCACAATGTTCTGTATTATAGAAACAAAGGCAAATGTCAACTAGCATGAACAACATGTTAGGGAAGAGAGAACATTATTCCAGAGGTGTTTAAGCACCAAGTCAATGTTATTTGTTGTTGTTAGCAGCTGATGCTATGACCAGCTAACGTGTCTGGCTAGCTAAGAGTAGCAATACTTCTCGTCAACCTTGCTAGTTAGCAACAAACTAAAAAGAGACATTAAGCAGATAGCATGGTCTACACATTACAACAACCCTGACCAGTTGGTTCAGGTCAGGTAGACATTATTTCAGAGCCTTATGAATGTACCATGCTGATTTAGTTTAGCTAACGTTAGCCTGACCTGATGTCTAGCAAAGCTTAAGCAAGATAGGAAGGACACTTTGCACCACTTACGTGTTTATATTGATATATCGGCCACTTAATAGTTACTCGGCGCTTGCAGGATATCTCTCATTGTAAGTCTACCGGCTCGTGCAAGGTTTGGTTAGCTGGCTACGCTATCTCAGCTGAGTTGGTCCGACTCCAGGAGCTAGCAGCCGTTCGCTTTTCCCCACCCCATGTGGAAAAAGACCCGCCTCCATCTTACCTCTGATTGGTTTACCCTGACATACTGCCCTTACTCTAGCCAATTGTTTTCCTTCATACCTAAACCTAACCCAATCAGAGGCAGAGTAGAGGTGGGTCTCATTCCCCTTGGGTTAATAACAAAGTAATTTCAGGCACCAGGATGAGGAATGAAGAGTTCTCAAGCCTGAGCTGTGCAGCCCCTGAAGAGATGCAGGTAGCTCACATGTATCTGAGAACATGTCTGAGGTACTGACAGTAACACACTGACACTAACATACTGACACAGACATCACATGTCTAAGGTACTGACACAAACATACTGACACAAACAACA